TTTTGGGGGAAAAAAATTCCGGGGCCTTAAAATGCTGTGAGACCATTTTCCTCCCAGACAGGGGGGGGTTTCCGCTTTGGCCCCATAAAAATTTCACGGCTTTGAATTTTTTTATAATTCCTATTTAAGATTCCAGGGAAACGGTGCTCCATGGTATGGGAAACAAGAAAAAGGTGAGAAGAGCAGGACTGAAATCTGCTTGGTAGTTGCTGTACAGGAAGATGGCCGTGTGCGCGCAAACATAAAACACACACACACACACACACACAAAGCAAAGGCCCGGTTCGTCATTGATGGACCGGAACGCACTTTGCGCAGGTAGATCGGAATTCACGAAGAAACGGAATCTCAAAACCACTCGGGCACATCAAGTTGTGACATGCCAGGGTATTTAATGACCAGACTACCAAATCCCACGTTCCAAAACGCCGGCTAGATGCAAACCCCCAGCCCCGGGCATGGTTCCTACAAGGTGCGACACGGATTCCTCCCCTGCATCTGCTTCTTCTTCTTCTTCTTCTTCTTCTTCTTCTTCTTCTTCTTCTTCTTCTGCTGCTGCTCTCCTCCGCGGCGACTACTTCTTCATGACGCATCCCGACAGCCCCGGGCCGAGGTCGGCCTCGACCTCTTGCGTCTTCTTCTTCCTGAGCTTTTGCTGCTCGTTCCAAATCTCGTCGGCCTTCCTCCTCTTCTCGTCGATGATGTTCTTCTTGCGCTGCTTGCGCAGGTACTTCTTGAGGGCGCCGTTCTTGCCCCTGGCGCGGTTGCGGATCTCCTCTTCGACGTTCTCGGGTTTGGCGTCGAGGTCCTTGTCGGGCGGGCTGCTTGTCGGAGCGCAGGTCGAGGTTGCCGATGAAGTTGGGGTCGAGGGCAATCATCTCGGGCTGCAGCTTGTTGAGCAGGCCCTTGACCTCGGCCTCCTGGCGTTGCTTGGCCGTCTCGAAGGGGGTTGACCTCGAGAGGCGTCAAAAGTTGGGCTTGCCGGGCGCCCGGGCACAATGATGGAAGAAAAAGCCCTCGTCGTTGGCCCATTCCGAGCGCGTTCTCAAAGGGGGACCAGGCGCACGCGCTCGACGCGCTTGCCCTCGCCGCCCCACCGTCATGTAAGGGGCTCTGCACCCTTCTCCTGCGTCGGGCGCGTGCTTGGGAGAAAGAAGGCCCTTCCAGACGGTCGTCTGCGTGCCCCCAGCCCCACGGCCGTGAAGGCCCGTCTCGGAGATGGCCACCGACGACGCCGGCTGCCGCGTGAAGTACTGGTGCACCTCCCTTGAACATGCGAATGTCCCAGATGGCCATCTTACAGTCCCTGGCCCGTCGTCACATTGTAGCGGGCCTCGCGGTCGACGGCCGCCGAGCGCACGGCGCCCCGGTGCGCCAGCAGCTTGACGACGGCGTCGTGGGAGTTTGGTGACCAGAGGGTGACTGTGCCGTTCTGGTGGCCGGCGTGGATGATGGCGTTGTAGGGGTTGTGCGTAATGGCCGTCGGGGGACCGAGTTTCGTGGGGAGCTCCGTCACAATCTGACCCGTTGATGTGTCTTGGTATTTGAGCCAGCGTTGGTGGCCTGGTGTGGTTTCGTCAGTCAGATGTCTTCCAATCCGGGGTGTTTTTTTTTTTTTTTTTTGGCATGCGGTCAACTCACCATTGTGCAGAGGAGAAAGTGATAGGGCAGAAACTCCATGTGCGTGAACTCGCGGTGCTTCTTCAGGCAATGCAGCTCGACACCGTCCTTGTCGTAGATGTAGACATAGTTCTTCTGCGGCCACGGCGAAGAACTGGTTGTTGTGCAGCCACTTGACGTCCCTGATCGTCTCGCCCAGCTGCAGCTCGCACCCCAGCTTGCCCTCGCGCCAGTCCATCGTCGCGATGTGGCCCTTTCGCCCCGCCATCAGCAGGTCCCTGCCGTTGCGCGAGTACTCGGCGATGTAGGGTCCCAGCTGGTCGAGCTTCAGCTCGAACCGCTTCTGCGCCGTCGACACGGCCACATCCTCGATGATGTCCTGCTGGCGAACCTTGTAGGTCCTCTCCAGCTCCGTCTCGGGCTCGAGGAAGCCGGTTGTCTTCTCAAGCAGAATCTCGGCGTCGCGGGCGCGCAGGGCGGCCGTCTCGAACTTGCCCTCGAGGCGCTTCATGCTGCCGCGGAGCTTCTTGTCGCGCACCGTCTTGAGGTTGACCTTCTTGCCGCGGCCGTAGGACTGATCGGCCTCCTTGCGGCGCTTCAGCTTGTCGCGCTCCGACTTGGTCAAGAGGCTTGTCCGGCGCTCGACGGCGGTCGCGCCATTGGAGTGGTGCCTCGCTGGCGCGGCATCTGTCCGTGATACTGTTCCTTCCATGGTGGGTGGTTGTGGGGGGGCGAGGTATGGACGGGACGGACTGGGATTGAGATCGAGATCGAGATCGAGGTCAAGTCGTGATCGAGGCCGAGGTCAAGTCG